CTTTTCTATATCCTTTACAGCTGAATTCTTAGCTTTCATTTCATTTGAAAGCATATTGCTCCTCTCAGTAATTTCCTTAGTATCTTCATGAATTTTTTCCTTTTGGGTTTTCATTTCAGCAATTCTTTTTTGCAGATCATAACTAGAGGGAAAAGAGAATGTAAAATGTCATCAGTAAAATTAGCTGCTTTAAAAATATCTTATTCATCAATTTATAGCAAGCTACGGCTATGGAAGTAGGTTAAGACTAGATAGAATTTAGGAACAAAACTGGCTCAGTCAATAAATTAGATCTATCACTCAACAGTGTACAGCAGTAGCTCATGGTTTTGATTTTCAGTTTCAGTTACTTGTGGTAGACCATCATATGAAATTAAATGTAAATTACAGAAATAAACAATTTTAAATCACACAGTGCCTATTAATCTTTCTTTTGATTCAGTATACCAACATGTGCATATCAACCCTACAGTCACTTAGTAGTCATAATGGTTATCAGGATCAACTGTAAGGTATCATTAGGCTTTGTTCAAGTAATTCTCCTTGTATTTCTTAGTAATGCAAAGGGCATAAAATAAAGAGGGGCCGAGGAGATGGTTCAATTAAGTAAGAACACTTGATTATCAAGAATGAAGACCTGAATGGGAATTCCTGCACCATGCTAAATGTGCTGTTAACATCAGATCAGCAGGTTGTGTGTGTGGGGGGAGGGCACATGGCAGTGCAGTGGCAGGGACAGGTAGCCCTCAAGAACTTGGTGGCTAGCTTGCCTAGCTGCAACAGTGAGCTTCTGCTTTAGGGAAACACCCTGTAAGGGAATAAAGTGGAGAGGGGTAGAAAAAGACACTCCATATTTTGCTCTGGCTTCTGTATGCACATGCACGTACATGTGTGCATGCATCCACGCCCCCGCAAACCAAACCGAAAAACAACAACAAAAACAAACAAAACTCCATACCACAATGGATTTGGGAGATGGCTCAGAAGGTAAAAGTGCTTGTAGGACACACCTGATGACCTGAGTTTGATCTCTAGAACCTCCCAGTGGAAGGAGAGAATCATCCCTGTAAGTTGTCTTTCTACCTGGGGGAGTTAGTACTCACCTACCTTTGCACGGTAATAATAATAATAATAATAATAATAATAATAATAATAATAATAATAAAACAACAAAAAGCACGCCCTGTAAGGTCAGATTAACTCTGATGCTGTTGCACTCAATAGGACATAATCGAAAGCAAATAGTACATATAAGGGTTTGGTACTACCTGCGATTTCTTCCAGGTTTTGAATATTATCCCTTATTGAGGGGATACTGCATACAATGCACGCGAGCACACACACACACTATTACTACTCATAAATGGTACAACCTCCTTCCACTCTTAAAATAGGACACTAAAAAACAAGTACTCAGTGACTTTTAGAAAGATGTAAGTGTTCACAATATATTATAGAACAAAAGGCTTTGATGTTTAGAAATTTATATAAAGTTGACCAGAGTACTTACATGTAATATTGACAGATATGATTCTTTTTTTTAAATATTTCATTTTCCAGGGTAAGGAACTCAATGGCTATGTTTTTCTCCCCTTCTAGGGCGTCCTTTTCCTTTTCCACCATTTTAACTCTGTTTAACTACGAAAATGAAAGAGTCAAAACGTATTTCATATATAAAATCAATTTGGAACACATAACACCAAGTAAAAGATCTCATCCCAAGGCTAATATAGAGGGTTCAGTAAAGAAAAAAAACAACCAAACAAAACAACAAAAACCCCCAAACATTTCTGTATAAATTATAAAAAGTTAAGTCTTCAACTCGGTAAATTCAGTTGATCCACAAATAAGATATTCTCACTGGCAACAAATGTTTACTGAAGTTTCATTTACCTTTTCTCCTCTGTTTTCATTTAATATTTCAACTCTCCGACATAAGACTTTAATAGGTTCATTTAGCCGTCCACAGCCAATTATATCTTCTAAATACTCAAGCATACCCTCATCATGTTCAGTCTGGCCTTTTGGTTTCATCATAGCAATCTGTTCGACTTCGCCCTTTAAGAGAATCACATTCATACTCATTGTAAACAGCAGCTAAGTCTCTTCATCAAGAATAGGGTAATCCAAACTAAATGACATTCATCAGGTCAGCTAAGGATGTTTTAGGCAAGGGATCTAAAATTCCTTTCATATATATTCTTATAAAATTACTGACAATACATACCCACAGACCCACACAAAGGTACCCTATGTTGTGGTTTTAAGTAAACATATTTTGTGTTAAGCAAAATTTGGTAAGGTACACTACCAAGTATTTCTAACAATTTGCTAATTAGGTCTCTCATTCTAAAACCATTTTTCAAAAAGTCCCATCATAGTTAAACTGTGTAAAAACCCTTGCCCGAGTGCTTAGTTTCCCTCTCTATGTAGCTATCTAATTTCTCTATAAACCTAGTGTGAGTTAAACATGACCCACCTCATAATGACTAAAACTCACAAGTTCTGATTTTTATAAACTGAGAGTCTTAACTTGAAAAGGAAATTATCCTTCCTCTAAACACTCTGACTACAGAGAGCAAATATCATTGTTACATGCTACACAGGAAAACTTCGGTTTGTAATCAATATATCAACTTTGAACTATAATTAAAATCTCTGAATACCTAAAAAGAAGAACCTATATATAATCAGTACCCAAGGCTGATTTCCAGGTAACCAATTAATTTGAGAGTGAAGAAAATTCTGTAGTGTTTGTTCTTTAAACATTTTTAACAGCAAAGAATAGACAGGCAAGTGGGGGAAAAATCCAATTTTAACTAAATGGCCAGGAAAAGAAATTATAAGTTGAGATACTTTAGTGATTACCATTTTTATAAGTGAATGACTCAACCTTAAAAATTAGGCTAAAATGTATTGAAGGAAAAGAATCTAACTTAACATTTTAAAATCTACTCACTACTGCACTTTGTTGATTTTTAACACAGGTTTTTTGTATGCAGCTCAGGGTGGCCTTCAACTTGCAGAGATCTGCCTGTCACTGCCTCCCAAGAGCTATGGGATTAAAGGCTGACAGGAATGCTTTTTAAGTGTTTTAGACATCACCATAATGTCAGTACTTTGATAATCACCAAGTATAGAGTGAAACTATAAAGCAAAATGCCTCTATTTATTCTCCTACTATATTATGTAGGTATTTATGAGTGCTTTCCTGTCGGTTCTCAAATCTGCACCAACAATTGTTAAGTTTAGACAGGACCCAAACCTGAAGTATATCCAAAGCTTTGGATTATAATAGTGAATGTAGTCACTGAATAAAGAGTCTTATTCGGAGTTATTTAGGCAAGTTTATCAACAGTTGCACTACTGGTATTTTAGGCAGAATGATTTTTTCCTGGTTACAGTGCTGTGCATTATATAAAATATTCAGTACCCATGATTTATAAAGTACATTACCTAATTCAAGTTGAATGATCTAAATGTTTATTTTAAGATGAATAAAAATAAGAAAAGAAAAATGTCAAAAGAACCCACATATGAGTCAAATGACCACAAAGTATTATATCTACATTTTTCAAATAATCAAAACCTGGGGTCCAGTGAAATCTGAGATTGGTTCCCAGCAGCCAATGTTTGAATAGCATCACATATTTCCTGCCCAAACTACTTTTAGAAGGTGTACATAGTTATTAGGAAGTAACCTAGCTTGAGAGAAAGCACGGTAGTTATTTTTAATATTTATTCCTTCTGAAAGAAGATGAAGGATGTGGAGCTGATCTCCTCTCACTGTAATCAAGTTGCTGAGTTAAAAACAAGTTCATTTATAAATCAAAATAGTTTCACATCAAGTCTCATGCAAAGGTATGTTTAGATTGTATTACGTTCTATTGCTGTTTTTGCTTTCCTTTGAGAAAGAGCCTCTCTATATAGCCCTGACTGTCTTTGAACTTAACAGAAATGCACCTGTCTCTTCCTCCTAGGATTAAAGGAGGTCGACACTACACCCTGCTATTGCATTCATCTTAAAGACCAGTGACTGAACGAATAGAGCACACCCAGTAAGGTCTTTACTTATCTCTTTTAGTTAGGGCTGTGTGGCTTAAATACCATTTTATTATTTTACATGTAGGTTGTAGTGCTGGCATATATGTCTGTGCACCACATACAGGTAGTGAGTGCCCCCAGAGGCCAGAAGAGGGTGCCCGATCCTCTGGGTCTGGAGTCAAAAGATGGCTGTAAGCTGCCAGGTGGGTTCCCTCCTAACTGTTAAGTCATTTCTCCAGTGCCTGCTGTGGCTTTTCAATGACAATGTAGAGCCCCACCCTCCACCCCCTTCTTTCTGTTTTTCTTTGTTGTTGTTGTTTTTTGAGACAGAGTTTCTCTGTGTAGTCCTGGCTGTTCTGGAACTCGCTCTGTAGACAAAGCTGGACCCAAACTCAGAGATCTGCCTGCCTCTGTCTCCTGAGTGCTGGGATAACAGGCATGCATCACCTCTGCCCAGCTCTGAAATAATTAAAAAAAAAAAAAAAAAAAAGAAAAAGAAAAAAGGAAAAAAGAAAAGAAAAAGATTTTTAATTGTGCATACGTGTCTGTGTGCCCACATGAATGCAGGTTTCTAAGGAGTTAAGAAGGGTGTGCTGAATCCCCTGCAGCCAGAGTTACAAGCAGTTGTAAAGCGGATGCTGGGAACCAATCTCAGATTCTCTGCAACAGCAATAACCACCAAAGATCTTTCCCATTATCCAGAAAAAATTTATAGCACCAATTTGAACTTAAAAGGCAAGGTTACAAATCACATAGTAACACAATAGTGATATCTAAAAGACACTTCAAGTTATTATACCTGAAGTTGTATGTAAAATTTCATACACCCTCACAGTTATTGCTACTTTCTACTGCTTAAAAGCATACTGGACAGTTTTTCTTTTTTGAGACAGGGTCTCTCTGCGTAGGTCTAGAACTCAGGAGATCAGTCTGCCTCTGCCTCCTGAGTGCTGAGAATATTAAAGCCATGTGCCTGAACTAAGTTTTTTTTTTTTTTTTTTTTTTTTTTTTTTTTTTTTTTTTTTTTGAGACACGATTTCTCTGTGTAGACCAGGCTGGCCTTGAACTCAAGAGAGTCACCTGCCTCAGCCACCACCCCTCAGCTCTGAACAAAATCTGAAGACATTCCCTGTACTGTTGCGTGAGAGTGCTGGGGCTGGGTATATTAGCTCAATGGTAGAGTGCTTGCAGAAGGCCTTGCATTTGATCCCGTGCAACAGATGGAGGAAAAATAAATTAGAAAGGCGCTTAAGTCCTAACTTAATGAAGGCTTTACTGGGGAGCAAACAAGGACATTGTGATTCAGTTAAACCATTCTTTAATAATGTTACGTACAGGTACCTAGACCTAAAAAACCTAAGAGAAAGTTGGGTATGGTAGCACACACCTGAAATCCCAGCACTTGGAAAGTGAAATAAGTCTTTTTATTTTCATTAAAATGAATACAGATAGGGGTGGGTGGTCTGGAGAGATGGCTCAGCAGTTAAAATAGTACTGACTACTCTTGCACAGGACTCAGGTTCAATTCCTAGCACCGACATGGCAGCTCACAACCATCCATAACTCTAGTTCCAGGGGATCTGACGCCCTCTCCTGGCCATCTTGGCCCCAAGCACATATATAGTACACATGCATACACGCAGGCAAAACACTTATATACATTATTAGATACCAAACCAAGAGCCTTATGTGTGCTAGACCATCGGTACCACCTAGAATTGTCAAATCCCTGGGGCTTTTAAATTTTTATGTTGCCTAAATAATTTTCATTTTCCATGCTTTTTGCTGCACTATACATTATCTTCTATCTTCCTCAACTACAATTTACCCAACCAAATTACCAAGGTTAGTATCTGTCCGAAGTATACAAGTAAAAAACAGAATGCTTTATGGTTAGTTTTCATGTCTATTCTGGGTGCTTAGGAGCAGCTTCCTAAGCTTTTTTTTCATAGTTGAGCCACTGGATCAGACACCTTTGGAAAATGGAAATAATTACTAGTTAGTCAAAAGTTTCTTTTGAAACTTAAGTCATAGATTTGCTTTTTAGATTTTTTTCCTTATTTCTACAGATTAAGAGACTACAACAAATAATTTATATGCCATGCCAACTGTAAGAGTATATTAAAAAACATGGATAACAACTTAGATCTAGGTTAATCCATTCTCCAGAGTAGAAAACAGTAACAAAAATGTTGTTTTATTTTGTAATATGAAGACAAAAAACATACTGAAATGTTGACAATCCAATTTCTATTTTAAGGAATTTACAAAACCACTCCTAAGATACCAATTTATTAATGTAAGTTTGAAGGGTAACAGAAGTATAGGATTTTCATTTCTCTAACCTGAATAGAGCAAAAGCATTAAACTAATGGAGCAAACCAATAAAATCCAATGAAGTCACAGTCACCTATGAAATAACACAGACTAATAAAACCTTTCTCATTGGGACCAATAGTCTTGATAAAACTATGCAAACCAATGGCCAATCAACTGTAAGCGACTATTTTTGAAGTATACATGCCCAGTACATCTGTCCTCAAGAATAAAAAAAAAAAGGGGGGCTTTAACCATCTTCACATTCATCTTAGCAGTGCCTCATTAGAAAAACATTTGAATGGTTATTGAAATTTTAAATGGATCTGTATACTAAAAACGCTGACTTAAAAAACACAACTCCATAAACACTATAAAAGTTTAAAAAATTAATTTCTAAAATTTAGTGCATTTTAATCTTAAAAATCTTGCTTTCTCTAAATTTGTATTACATGTGATGTAATCATTACCACCGCCCAGTCTGTATACTTATGTCTTGGATGCTAATATTATGATATGATCTTCAATCTTCTAGCCATTCTAACTACGGGTCATTTTTAAGACAAATGTTAGTGATTAGAAGAATGAAATAGAAGCTATAATCTTACCTTCACATGCTTTCAAATCTCTTATTAGTGTAAGAATCAAAGATTTTGATAAAGAGCTAAGTAAAACAAACTACTTCCACTTTCCTTCATAATTAATAGGATTCTATGAATTCTACCTAGTCCAATTTCCACTTTTTCTTCCTAAGAGGTGAGTTGCTGAAGTTCTGATCTAAGTTCAATCAAATAAAACTGAATCTGTTAATTTGGATTGTTTAACTTAGTATTCTTTAGTAAGAATGTAGAAATTTAAGAGCACAGAAAAGGGTTCAGATAATGGAACAAATAAGCATTTTGAGTACTTCAGAAGAATATGTTTTAATATAAACTTGACACTTCGTAATTTATTTCTTTGGGAAATTGCTTTATCACCTTTCTTCATTACCAAATTATGTATAAATAAGCTTCATAAAAAACTTTACAAGACCTGAAATATAGTCTATTTTGCACTGGCATAAAACTGATCATCTCAGAAGAAAATAAGCAAATAGCAAAGAATAAACAAAAGATCAATTAAAATTTCCTGCAAAAATGTTAACACCATTAAATTTAGTAAAGGAATACAACTTTTTATCCATAGTTAATCAAGCCAAATTCCTGAATATGGAAATCCACAAGACAGTACAATTCATTTCAAAAAAGAAAGCAAAAAATACCCACAATGGCTTAAGATCACATCTATATAAATTCAAATGTTAGTTACATGCATATGTGCAACTGATTTCTTTCAATATTTATTTTTAAGTAATAGCAGTTCATTGAAGTATTGTAAATGCAATATTCTGATAGTTAAGAGGTACTAAAAGTTATTCCAGAAAATTTTGCCTTCTATACAATGCATGCTTAAATAATAAAACCCTTAAGAATATACTCTAAAATGTGTGAAAAATTATGTTGTTAATTGGAACACTTAGTTACCACAACAAAACATTTGATATCCAATCAAAACTCCTAACTTAGCTGAAAATTAGTAGGCCACACTAGAGCCTATCAGCAGCTGTCTTTACATAACAAGCAATGTCTATCTTTTTCAATCTGATTTATGCCCTTAGTAGCTTGGGATAGGACAAAAAAATAAGATGTCTTTAAATCAAAACAGGAATTTCACAATACCTAACAAAGCCTATTTTACCAAAAACAAAAACAAAACAAAAAAAAAAAAACAACTAAAAAACCCCTAAGCCCCCTAACCAAAAAAATAAAAAAAACCCACCAACCAACCACTCCCCTATCTCAAATGACAAAATTTTCCTTACATCAAGTTATTTATACTAGCAAGATATGCACGCACATGCGTGCACACACATGTACATGCACACGCACCCCCCCCCCCAAAGAAACAACCAACCAACCCCCCCCAACAAAATGCAGGGTCTAATAAAAATCAAATTAACGCCAGGCACTTACTTAATTTTTATACTTCCTTTTAAAAAAGACTTCTCTAAGAGCTGATACTAATATTACTGGTTTAAGAATTAGGCCACTGTAAACAAAACAAGACCCACCTCGAGTAAACCTTTAATATTACTATAGATGTTAAAAATAAATTTATCAGGTTTTCAGAGAAATTTGTTAAATATCAAGTATATAGTTTTTATGTTAGAGAAAAATGAGAATAAACAAAAAGGGCAGACCATTAAAAGATTTCCTTTAAAATGTTATTTCATAGGGGAATACAAATAGAAATAATAGTTGCTGTATGCCTGTCACACTAAAGCAGCACAATAATATTGGTGTTTAATATTTATTTCACTACGCCAATATTTACGTGCTGCTAGAGCGGAACAAGTATGTCAGATATCCAAATATAAAATGAACATGCGATGATAACCACATAATTTTGAATGAATTTCCTTAAATTTCTAGAGCAGCAAATAATGATTCGCATCTTGATTTAGTATGTAAACCATGATGTGCTGCTACAGTACTTTAAGGTTCCAATACAGGATTCATCAAACAGAATACTCTTTCAAGCTTTATTACAAAACAAAAAGTAAAACCAAGAACCTTGGAAGTGTTTATAAACTTACCTGCAAGATTAAAAATCGATTATGGTCCAAGTCAATTCCATGGCTTCTAAGAAGATTTCCAACATCTTTAAATGTTCTCTTTTTCCCACTTATATGATAAACAGAAGTGTTATCTCTGTAGGCTGTTCTAGATACACAGAAGTTACTGTTAGGAATGACTTCATAGTCATCCCCTTCCTGTTTTTAGGAAAAACAAAACCAGAAAACAGTTGGTATTAAGTCACAGCTCCGATTCAGATTCTACTATTTTATAGTGAAACTAATTCAATGGATTAAATATTTCTTAAAATTTTTTCTTGTATTTTTTGACAAATTCAGTCATACATGTATAAAGAATTTTAGCCCTTATCTCCCTTGAAGTAAATATGCACATAAACCGACAATTGTTCTAAAATGAATAAAAAATATTGCTTTAGGAAGGACTAGCTACTTCTCCAAGTTGTTCTGTTTCTTTCTCAAAGATCTCCAAAACCAAAAAGCCAAATGAAGCAAATAAAACTTTACCTCCAAACAAGCCAAAAAATATATTTGAATAAGAGCCAAAGAAGGTGGACAAGAATTCCACTGTATCTAAAACAACCCCACCACACTCAAGCTAATAACCTTATTGACTGGTTAAAAAGCTATAAAAGAGATGATCTAAGGAACATATTAAGGGGAAATACTTTTTGGTGGTGGTCTTGTCAGTCGGTGTGTGTGTGTGTGTGTGTGTGTGTGTGTGTGTGTGTGTGTGTGTGGTGGCAGCAGGACACAAGATACCACCCTGTACCTTCCTGAACAGCATCCCTATCATCATTAATTGAAAGTAAAGCAAACTGTAAAAAACTCACAATTATATACCTGGTAAAAGAAATCAATCATAACTCTATTTTAGCAATAAAGTTTATTTTATTCTTAAAGGCTCTGTCAATTTTAGATAACTCAAACTTAACAAGCATTGGAATAATATCTGATTTATTGGCAATCTATTCTCTAACTTAAAAGTACAACAGAATGAATGAATAAGCAAAATTAAGAGATGCTTTTGTGTAATTAAATTTCTTTATGTTTAAAACAAGAACAATCCTCCAGCACCTAAATTATCTAACCACTTCATTATGTGCGTTTATTTTTTAGGTTCTTTTCAGTTGCTTTTTGAATCATTAATGCTATGCTAGTAAGTAAATAAATGAGAAAAAACACCCACAGAACCATGTAAATAACCTGGTCATTATTTATAAATTTCCAGAAAACAGAAACACTACCCGTCCCCTACCATTTCAAAAAAAGCATCAAGGTAGTTCAAGCTTTAGAAATTTCTTTCATATCACACACACACACACACACACACACACACACACACACACACACACAGAGCTACTAGTAACAAATTTAATGTACACTGAAATAATGGGGGTGGCAAAAATCAATAAATTATTACATTTTAAAAATTAGAATGTTTATTCTAAAGCAAAAAAAGTAACTTTAAAAATGAAGCCTGTATTTATAGTTAATGAATGTTTATGTAGCACTCAGAGTTCCCAAAAATCACTATCTTCTTCCAAAAAAGTTGAAGTAAATATGGTCATAGACATAATCAATATTTCTTTTGCTTTAGTTATACACAAAATATAAAGAAACAATTCAGGTCAACAATAACAAAATGTGGCATGCTATTTCTATTTCTTGCTTGAAGTTGCAAGTAGAAAATAATTTCTTACCTTATCAATTATCTTTTGAAAATGAACTTCTACAGTACAACTCTGAATATCCTTATGTTCATCAGAATTATGTATCAATACTGACAGCTTTTTAGACCTTATTTTTTGTGCTCGATAGCCAAACACAAAAAGCATAGAATCAATAACATTGGATTTTCCACTGCCATTTGGACCAATAATACAGGAAAAGCGCTGCATAAAAATAAATTTTAAAAAATTAAATTTAAACAGTCACACTAATACTACTAATTTTAAACTACTAGATATCTTAATTTATAGTTAAAAAAACTAAAGGCATTCAAAAGTTTTGGTTATTAGAAAATACATAATTTTCTCTTTAGAAATAAAAGCAGTTTATTAAGAAAAGGAAAGCACTCCAAGAATGAGAGTGGGCTAGTGAGCTGAGGGAAAAGCATGCACCCCAAAAAACCCACTTTGAGTTTTCTTACATCATGATCTGCTCCAGCGCAAGCTTTAACATCTTAAATAAAACCATATTCAAATTCTAATCCTGACATTTTACAAATCATTACAACGGCCAACGGGAAAAACATTCCTTTCTAATAAAAACAGATTCTATTCGACATGAAAACGTTATTGCTAAAGAGATACCAAAGACATCAGATAAAGAAAAACTAATTCTTGCTGTGGAAATTATAGGCAACATATTGCATGTCTGTCTATTAGGGTGTGTGTGGGGGTGGTAAAGAGTCAGGATACTTAGAAAACTGAAATATCGTACAAAAAAGACGTATTACAAGTTCTTTAAATGGGCAAATACCTTATGGAAAGGACCCAGAATTTTCTCTCCAGCATAGGACTTGAAGTTTTGGTTTACAATATGAGTGATCATTAGCCGAGGAGCTCCAGCTTCACTGGCCATTGCTGGAGGCGGGGGTGGAGGAATGCTATTCAAAATCTCTTCCAAACTTCTGTTATCAAGTTCCTCACCTGGAGTCTCTAGGTTAACGGAAAGGCAGAAAGGGGAAAGCCTACATTAGTCTATTAGCTGGAGGCCTACTGCCTGCTAGCATTTAAAGGACGGAATGGAGGGACGTTACTTACGAAACCCAGGAATCTATTTTCCACACAAATATATCCTAAACTCTTGGTGATGGATAATCTTTCAGCTTAAGTTTCATGGAAAATAAAATTCGTGAAAGAAATACCACCAGTCATAAAATTCACGGTTTTTCTTAGAGAAGTCAAACACCACACCACAAAGCAAACCTGCCAATATCGCAACAAATGATTCCTGCTTTTTATGGTAAACAGGCGATGCAACCCAAACGATAGAAAATGCAACTCTACATGGCTCAGCACTTAAGAAACTCACAAGCTTCAGTAACACGGTCACAGTAGCTCTTAATTCCTACACTCGGAATGCTATACGCTCAAATTATATTTTCTCTTTAAAAGCATTCTAAGGGGCCCAGCTGTTTTTTCTCTTGCAGGGGACTCGCGTTAGGTTCCTAGCACCCACAATGGGCGGCTCACGACTGTCTATAACTCCAAGTCCATGCCCTCCACGTATGTGCGCCCCCCCCCAAAAGACACTTTAAAAAGTAAAAATTGATATTGCACCAAAAAAGGCAATCCAAGGGTGAGGTTGGAGAGAAGCAACTCTGCATCACATTCAGTCCAGATTAGGGGCGGAGAGGCGCTCCTTACTCTGGGCTGACCATGCCGCTATCAGCCGAAAAAAACGATAAAGACGTCAGCGCTACTCCAAAACATCACAGAAATCCACAACTCACGTCTCCCGCTCACCCTCATCCCTTCCAGAACCGTTACCGCCAAACTGCATGGAATTCCTCTGAAAACCGCAAGAGTGGCTTTCCGTAGCTGCACTTCTGACAACTCCGACCCTCCGACGTCAACCTGTCGCCTGCCCCCCGGCCACCCCAGCGGGTCTCCACGGGCCTCCGACGCACCCAGGTCCCGGCCGGTCGGTCACTCACCTGCAGCTGCAGCGCTGTCCGCTCCGCCGTCCGGTTGCTCGGGGTCCCCATTGCTGTGGGCGCCGTCTGGGGAGGGCGGCGGCCCTTCCTCCTGGCGGCAGACCGAGGAGGGCTTGGTGCCCTTACGCCGCATGGTGGCTGCGGCAGGAGAGAGCCGGGAGTCAGACGGGCCCGCGGCCGCCGCCGCCGCCGCCGCCGCTGCAGGACGGGCTCCGCCCAGGACCCACCCGCCACCGCGTCCCCCCAACTCCGCTCGCTAGCAGGTAGCGGGGGGCCTCGGGAAAGCGGCTACCACGAACACCGCGGTAGCTAGCCACCGGGCGGGACGGGTTTCCCTACGACCCAGGTCAACGGGAAAAACCTAGCTGCGCCCGGGACCGCTCGCTCCGGCCCCCCGCTCCCCGCGGGGCCATCGCTCAAAGCGGAGGACGTCTGCTGACAGTCCCACGCCGTCGGGGCGGCGGAGGCTGGCGCTCGGGGGGACCGAGAGGCGTCCGTCCAGCCCCGGGTCTGCGTGGCTACTCTCTCTAGAGCAGCAGCAGCAGCGCCCGCCCGGCGGACCCGCTCTCCTCTCCCCGCCGTGTAGGTCCTGACGCCCGGACGGCCCGGACCGGGGAAGCGGGGGGTGGGGTGGGGGAGTCGGAGTCTCTTCTCCTCCTGGCCCCGGCGGAACGGCGGGCCGAAGCCGGGGTCGCCCGCCACACACTGTTACTCGGGACGCTGGCAGCGCCTGCCCCGGATGGGTCCCTTTCCGGACTAGCAGGGGGTCCGGTCCATCCCGCCCGGGCCCGGGGCGGAGTCCCGGCCGACAGCGGGAAACCATGCCAAGTCCCCAGAAAAGGCTGAGCCGGGGCTGCGGGGCCCTTGGAGGACGCGACGGGCAGGCCCGGGACGGGGGACGACGACGCCCCGGCCCCGGCCCCGACAGGCTCGCAGCCTCCCCCAGGAAGAGGCGCCGCCGCTACCCGGCGGCCGAGGGGGAGGGGTGACAGGCGGCGGGGCTCCCCGAGCCGCCTCCGCCGCTCCGGCTCTCCAGGCCTCGGCTCCCGACACCGGCGGGGCAGGCGGGAAAAGTGTGGCCGACCACCTGACCCGGGAGAGGAGTCACTTTACCTGTCGGCAGGTCCCGCTCCGCGCAGGGCTGCCAACCGGGCGACGGCCGACCCCCCTCCCCGGGCCTCGCTCCGACCGGCGTCTCCGCTCCGGGTCCTTCACTCGAAAATGGCGCCTAAAATCCAAACTCGAACGGAAATTCGTTACAAATGCGCGCAGTGGCTTCTGGGACCCGCGCATTTGAAAAAAAGTGCGGCCATCCCCACCGCCATCTTCTCCGGGCCGTTCGGGCGCATGCGCGGGCTGTGTGCCCGGGGCCGTGGCGCCAGGGGGGAAGTTTCGAGTGAGGAGGGAGAGCAAGCGGGGGTGGGGGGTGAACGCCTTTCCTATGGCTTTTACAGACACAAAGCTATGGAAACGACGGCCCTTTGCATGGCTGGGACGACAGCATTTGGAAAACTGGGGGATTTACTGGGGACTTCTGATAAAGAGGAAAAAAATAATACCCAGCGGGGCCCCGCCCACAGCTGTAGGCGGGGCCCCGTCGTCCAATGACACCCTTCAGTGAGAGGGCGGGCTCATTTAGGGGCGGGGTCTAGGGCCCGCTCGAGTGACTGGCATCTGGCAAAGTATCGCGGGAACAGGGAAAGGGAGACCGCTTTTAGCGCTTAGAAATCACTATGGTGACGGGAAGGTCGGGAGGCTTCTTGGTAACTGTGGCCGTATAGCTCTGAGAGCGATCGCCACCGCTCTCCGGGAACTTGAGGTAAATCTGTTCACCTCCAGATCCTTTGGAGAAAGGGCTTGGAAGCCGTGGCGGTCACTGGAACCCGCCTTCCCTTGCTTTGAAGGCATGGGCTTGGCGGAGGATCAGTTATTTTCCATCTTCCAGCCCGCAAGGCGCTCTCTATGGGTGTAGATTTTGGGATGTGGAGTTTACCGGTAAAGCGAGGAGCCTGGGATTAGTGAGTAATTTTGTAGTCCACATATGAATAGCAATGATTTTCCAACTATTTTGTGTTAGTGTCACTAACGAAAGGTTTTGGGTTTAAAATAATTATTTGGGCAACAGGGCTCCTAATGGAGAAACGATTTGCTGGTGTTAACTAGTTACCATTATGGTGGGATTAGTTCTTAAGTAGCATATGTGTGCATTGCACTGCGGAAGGTATAACCAGGATTATTAAACAGATGTGACAATTCCAATTCCTGGAGAATGTAGTTTTGTTAATAGACTTTTAACCTGAGTTTGAGGATGGTGGTGGTTGGGACTGAGTTTCTAACTCTCCGAAAATTGTATACAAAGTTTTGTGTGTTTGTGCTTTGTTTTCCTGGAGGGTTCGTTTCCCTTTAATTTTGAAAAACGGTCTGAATCAGCCACCCTCCGCAATGTTAAAAAACGACTGATTGGTTTGACTGCCTTTAGTATGTATACAGCAATTCTTAACTGCTAGCCTCTCATTTTCTCTTTACCTATTTAGGGTCTGGCATATTAGAGCAGCAATAAACTGTTTTATGAATGAATTTACATTGTTGCTCTGAAATGTATTATGGCTCTTAGATAAATAACACTTAGTTTCAGTTATTCCCAGGAAGTACTGGAGCAGAGGACACCCCCAAGTGTAAAAATCTGGTTGGAGCTTGGAGATTGGTGTGGTTTGAATAAGCATTCGCTTAATATTATAATGTACCTTTGTATTTGTAGTTGAAAATAAATTGTCCTCATAAGACAAATGTCACCATAAAGCTCAATGAGTTTTTTTGGGGTGTGTGTGAAGGACTGGTAGGTATACCAAGAGAGTAAAGGGATTCTCTTTAGGGGCTTCTTTGTATTTTCAGATGTTGTAAAATACTACAAAACTGAGTGGAAGAGATACCTACTATGAAAAAAGTAGACTGGGGCAGAGTAAATGGTTCAGTGGTTAAAAGCACTTACTGCTCTTGCAGAGGACCCAGGTTCAGTTCCCAGCACCGGCATGGCAGCTATAACCACCTGTAACTCCAGTTCCAGGAGATTCAGTGCCCTCTTTTGGCCTCCTCAGGCAAGAGACATGCTTGTAGTACACATTCATTCATACATGCAGATAAGACACTCAGACGTGTAAAATAAATACAATAAAAGGGTAGACTAGACCACGTTGAAAGGTGTATATGCTAGTCAGAACGGAATTTAGTAGAAAAATATAAATTGAAATCAGGGAGGCTGGAGAGATGATTCAGCAACAGAAAATTTTGCTGCCTTGCAGAGGACCTGGTTTTGGTTCCTAGAACCCACACTGGGCAGTTCACACCTGCCTGTAATTCCAGTCCAGGGAATCTGACACCCTCTTTTGGATACCAACAGTACTAGACACACACATACATACATACATACATACATGCAGAATATACACATTAAATCAAATATACACATTAAAAAATAGAAAACAATCCAACTCCTATTATTTCTTTGGCTATATAATTGGGCAGTTTACTCATAAGTATGTCTGGGGGTGTTTATTTATAAAAATCATAAGATAATGCCTATCATAGAATTTTTGTAATTGTTCATTTAGTCCTGTATTTGATGTTACTATGTGATGACATATTTCAAGTATGTGCTAAGTATCAATAATGCCATATCAAATTTGAGGAAGAGTAGCTTATGAAGGACCTTGAAAGGCAAGTCAAGAGTATAGCTACAAACTGGGTGTGGTGGCTATTTCTGTAATCCCAGCACTTGGAAGATGAGGCAGGAGGCTTGCCATGAGTTTAGACTAGCCTAGTCTACATAGTGAGTTGGAGCCAGTGCTAGACAGTGGGGGGCGGGGCGGGGGGCTGGAAAGGAAGAATGAGGATAAGGAAAAATGTATTAACAAGTACTGAGGTGGGATATGTTACAGGCAAAGAGATCAGTTATAGTTCTAGTTAGATTGTTACTAAACAGTCTTCGTGTGGTAGGTGAGGAGTACCTTGGCAATAGAAAAGAAAGAATTCAGTTATTTTAGACAGACTATTGCTTTTATAGATTTTGGGTGGTTAAGAGTATAAACTCTCAAGACAGTCAAATACTGCTCTTTGTGAATCTTTGAATTAGTGACAAAGTAACAGGAAGAACATATGTCCTAGTTTACTGATTTGGATGATTCCTGTCAATATGGAAAGTTTTAACAACTAATGTAGAAAGAAGTGATTTTCAATAAACAGTTTACATAATGACAGCCTCAAATTTAATTTAACTTAACCATACCCTCTCAGACAAATATTTTTCTTCCTTTCTTTTTCTTTTCTTTTTTCTTTCTTTCTTTCTTCCTCCCTTCCTTCCTTCCTTTCTTTCTTTTTTTCTTTTTTTGAAACAGGGTCTAATATAGCTTAGGCTTGCCTTGAATTCACTATGCAGCCAAGGCTGGCTTTGAATTTCTAATTCTCTTGACTTCACCTACTTAGTTCTGGGATTAGAGTCAAGCATCATCATGCCTAGCGGCATAAACATTTTTGTAGCAGCTAAAATTTTTACATAATAAGGATGGTTCAGTGGTTAGAGCACTGGCTGCTCTTTCAGAGAACCCAGGTTCAATTCCCAGCATCCACATAGCAGCTCACAACTGTCTGTAATTCCAATTCCAGGGTATCCTCCAGGGTATCCAAGACCCTTATATGGACATACGTTCAGGCAAAAACACCAGTGCACATGAAATAAAACAAACAACAACAACAACAACAACAAAAAACCCAACCCATTATGGTTAGCAAATTCCTGTAATGCCAGCACTCAGGTAGAAAGGCAGGAATATGTATAACCTCCAGATTATTTTACACAACTAGTTGAAAGCTATTCTGGACTACTTTGAGATTCTGTCTCAAAAAAGCAAAGCAAAAGTGTGGTTGTGGTCATCCAGGCCTTAAATCCTAACACTCAGGAGGCAAAAGAAGGTGAATTTCTGTGAGTTCAAGGCCAGTCTTGGTCTATCTACTGAGTTCTAGGTCAGCCAGAGCTATATAGTGAAACTCTCTCTCAAAAACCAAACAAAAAACAAAAACTACAGCAAAAACCAGAACAAAACAAAACCAAAAAGACATTAAAACTGAATGTAATTTTTTTTTTTATGTGTGTGTGGTGTTTGTATGTGTGCTGTGCTCAGGTGTGTGCCTGTGCAGGCTAGGGGTAGATACCTGGTGCTTTGCCAACTGAGCTATTTACTGCTTCCATTAATGGAATTTTTTAGAAGATATTAGGAGCACAAGAAGTAAAGCCATCTGGCTAATTGTTGCCAATACTCCTGACACTTCTCCCGAAATTAACAATCTAATTCTAAAGAGAAGGCCATCTAGAAAAGACCAGCTTACAACCCATAACCAATCATCAGTTCTGATCATAACCCAAATATTAGGAAATATGGCCACTTCTTCCCTTCCGTCGTGATCTACCAACAGCCCTTATCTGCTGCACCAGATGGTCCAAAGAAGTTTTTTTTTTTTTTTTCCAGAATGGGAGCACCTGTCTATAATCCCAACACTGGTAAGCTAAGACATGAGGATCTTAAGATTAAAGCCAATCTGAGCTATGTAAATGATCCTATGTTAAAAAAGGAAGAAAAGCACGGATTTTCCCATAGAAAGAAATAAGAATTTTCATTCTCAGTTCTTTAAGAGTCTGGTTGAGTGTTGTCATAATTACAATAATGTGTGTTGTGTGTACCTTCTAAAAAGATTTCAAAAAGTCTGAAATTAGGTTTAGGAGTAAATCTTTAAAAATTTGTAATTGTAAGCTTTAAATCATCTAGCTATTGGCTTATAGCAAATTTATTTGAATAATGCGTAGTTAGACAAAAGTGTGCAAATTATTGCCACTAGAAATAGGAATGACCATTCCGTTGATAATAAAAGTCCCTGGAGGAGGTGGCTTCGTGGTGATGTGCTTGTCTGAGATGATTGACATCTTGGGCTGGATCCCTAGCACAGGGAATTAACAAAGCTTTGTAATATATTAATCATACTGAAATGTTCACAGAACTCATCTCCTTAAAAATAAAAAATAAAAAAAACTCGGAGAAGCTAGGAAGTAGAACAGTTGTTTTCTGGAAAATCCACTGGAAAGGTAGAATTGTGTCTATTCGTGGGTGTTATGGAAAGGTATATCGAGGAACAGTAGCACCAGAGAATAGCTCGCAAGAGAAACAGGACCCTATAATTGGATTAGCCTAGCCTGCTGTCACTTGCCTGTAATCCCAACACTAGAGTGGTAGAGACAAGCCAGTCAAGATCATTCTTGGCTATGTAGCAAGTTTGAGGCCAGCCTGGGTTTCATGAGACTTTGTTTCAGAAACAAAGGCAAAATCAAAACAAAACAATGGAAGAGGAAAAATAGATTAGGGTTTTATGGTTTAAATACAGAGAGGCTAGCACCATCAGAACAATCATGTTGAGGAAATACCATCTTGAGAATCTAAAAAGAACAAAGTCATGTCTCAGGCCTACTTAGATTACAGGTGACAGATGACCCAATCAAAGTGGCCTTGAGAAAAAATATTGTCCCCTATAACTAGAAAGTTATGTAAGCCGGCCCTATACCACTTTCCTATATACAGAGGCCATGGGTTCCATGCCAGCAACGCACGCACGCACGCACGCACGCACGTTTGATTTCTTTCTTGCTTTGCATTCTGTTGTAGCATGTTCATGCTCTTCATGGTGTTATTTGGTACTTCCAGGCTCTCTGCTTCCTGTAATAAGATAGATACAGTTACTATAGCCGAAAATCTTGTGAAGTTGAAGACCCAGGTACGTTGAATTTTTCTTCCCATCTTTTATTTTAGAGGAGGTCCTGGGCCACCTGTGAAACAGTGTCTGTGTGGACAGACTAGAAGGCAGGCTCCAATTGGCTTAAGTGTGGGTCTCATGCTGGCTCTACTCAACCCACATAGAGTGGGGAGTGGGTTTTCTATAGGAAATTTCCCTTTGTCTAGGAAAAGAGTGAGTATATACTGGGTAACCAAAACAGTGGTTTCACCTCAAATGCACAACAGTTACTAAATGCTTGCTGTGTGTCAGGTACTGTACTGGGCATTCTATAAACATCCCGTTATAACTGCTTGTCAAGTAGGTTAAGCATGGCTACTCTCCCAGAGGTCCTGAGTTCAATCCTGAGCACCCACATGGCTGCTCAAAACCATCTGTAGGGTTGGATGCCCATTTCTCATGGCAGATGTACTTGTAGACAGAGTGCCCCAATACATAAATAAATAAAAATGATCAAGTACAGAGATTGGTAATCTTAAGAAAAAATTTTCTTCTTTTTTTTTTTGGTCATCTGTATCCCCTGCTATTCTTCTCCAGCCCCCACATGGATCCACCCCTACATTCTCCCTCCCAACTCCATTCCCCCCCTTTTTATAACCCACTGACTGATTAATGCAGCTCATATATGCATGGGTGTGGGGCCATCTGTTAGAGCATGGTCAGTCTACCAGGGACCACAACCCTGAAGAGAACTGAGTGTCCTCTAGCGACAGTCACTGTAAGTAGCTTCAGCTAGGGGTGAGGGCTCTGGGCCCCGTGCTCGAGTGTTGAGCGTGTGATCTTGTGACAGTCCTCTGCAGACAACCACAGATGGTTTGAGTCCCCTGGTGCGATGGCCCTGTGAGGTCCAGGGGATACTGTTTCACCCCAGTTCTCTCTAACCTCTGGATCTTACAACCTTCTGCCTCCTCTTTTTTGATGTTCCCTGAACCTTGGGAGGAGGGGTGTATATAGATGTCACTAAAATATTATTTATAAGATTAAAAAAATAAATGCATAAAACATAATTGTGTCATAATCTTATCGTTCACTACAAACACACACACACACACACACACACACACACATACGCACACTATTGAGTATGATTAAAACTTCAAACAGTATGTAGGGCAAAGGCATAGTGTGGTGGCAAAGCATTTGCCTAGTACCAAAAAAAGGGCTGGGGGGGGGCAGTAATCATCACTTCTCATTGGGTTCTTCTGGGTCTCCATTATTAAATGTATATCTTCCCAGAGAAGTGTTTTAGTACCCACCAACTTAAATATATATCTCTTTTCATTTGTACAAAAGGGATTGAATTATATTTTACAAAAATTTTGTGTATGTACATGATATGTGTGTAGGCATGTGCTTTGGCACACATATGGAGATCAGAGAACAAGTTTGTGGGGTCAGTTCCCACCTTCCAGAATCTTTAGGTGGAAGCTAGGGATTGAATTTAGGTCATCAGGCCTGTGTGACAAGTGCCTTTACCTGAGCCATCTAAGTCATGTAATATTGCTATACATCTTTTTTTTTTTTTTTTGGTTGTTTGAGACAGGGTTTCTCTGTATAGTTTTGCACCTTTCCTGGAACTCACTCTGTAGCTCAGGCTGGCCTCGAACTCACAGAGATCCGCCTACCTCTACCTCCTGAGTGCTGGGATTAAAGGTGTGTGCCACCACCACCCGGCACATCTTGTTTTTCATTTCTATGTTATAGACATCTTTCTATCTCCATAGAGATAGCCCATTAAAAAAAATAATCACGTAGCATTGTATTTTGTTGGTGCAATGTGATTTTTCTAAGTTAGTTGAATTTAAATGACTGAATTAAAGATCACTGTATTTGTGGGTGGGGTGTGTGTGTTCATGTGTTTGTATATACATGTGTGTGTACAGGTGCTCATGTCTCTGTGTGTGCATATACATGGATCTTGGAGGCAGATACCAGGCATCCACCTCTCGTTTACAACCTTAGTTTTTAAGGCAGACTTCTTACTGAACTCAGAGCTTACCAATTCACTAGACCTGCTGGTAGTTCTGGGAACCTGCCTATCTCTGTCCCCCATGCTAGTGTTAGACATGCTGGCTTTTTTCATGGTGCTAGGGATCCAAACCCAGGTGCTCATGCATCACAGTCACTTTACCCACTGCGCCATCCCCCAGCCTCACTCACAATATACGATACATTTTCAGATTAGTCTGAGCATAAAATTTGTATTATTTATATAGTTCATAGCATAGGCTAGAGGAATTTCATACAATCATTGTCATGCATCATTGTTCTCACTGATTTGTCCCATGAAGGTAGGTATGGACTTTTCTATTTGTGTTATGTTGATACTTTTGGATTTTAGATTTTTGGATTAAGGATGCTCAACTTGTACCATAGAGGACTTTGTAAGGAACATATATCTATACCTATATATCTTATTGTATATAGTAAATTCTTCAAGTAGGTGTCTATCCTAGAGTATATTTCTTCTGTAATATCTCCTTCTTTGAGTCAGTACTTTCTAATTCAATAAGGTATGTATAGCATAGTAGCAGAGTCAATGTATTCGTGTCTCAACTATAAAAAAGGAAGTAGGTTTTTCTTTCTTTTTCTTAATGAAACGTGTTCTTTTATATAAAACTCAAAATAGGGAATTTCCCAAATATAGGACATTTACCTGCTCTTTGACAGATGTAAAATTATTTATTTCTATGCCAGCTCTGGATTCTGGGCGTGTTTATTTGTCCACCTGGATAGTACAAAATGCTATGTTAGCTGGGCATGGTGGCATACACCTTTAATCCCAGCACTCAAGAGGCAAAGGCAGGTAGAAATCTGAGTTTGAGGTCAGCCTGGTCTACATAGTGAGTTTCAGGACAGCCAATGCTACATAGTGAGACCCTGTCTTAAAAACAACAACAACAAAAAACCAACCAACCAAACAAACAAACAAAAAACCAAAAAACTATTTTGTTGTCATTTTATTTTATTTGTATTTGAGGCTGGACATTACTTTTTCACTGCCCACTTACCATGTGTATGCTTCAGTAAATTGTAAGTTTATTTAAAAATAGAAGTACCTTGCCCTGTAGAGATAGCACTTGTTAAGAGCTCTTGTTACTCTTTTTTTTTTTTAAATTTTATAAATGCCTGGCCATAGCTTGGCTTGTTTCTTGCTAGTTTTCCTTAACTTAAATTATCTTGTTACTCTTGTGGAGGACCCAGTTCAGTTCCCAGCATTCACATGGTGGTTCACAACTGTCTGTAACTCCAGTTTCAGGGGATCCAAGGCCTTCTTCTTACCTCTGTGGGCACCAGGCACACACATTGTGCACATAAATGTGTACAGGCAAAACACTCAAACAAATGAAATACATGAATCTAAAACAAGAAGTATCGAATTATATTAGAGTTTCTCATTGCTGTGAACAAATATCAGAGAGAAGCAGCTTGAGGGGGAAGAAGTTCCTTCTGGCTCTTAGTCCAGAGGCTGTCTGTTATAGTGGCCGTTATGACAGCCATCACAGCAGAGAACTGGGTCAGCCCATGGTGGCATGAACATGGAGAAGTAAAGCTGGGCCAGGAGCAGGGCCAGACTATAACCCTCAAAACTTGCTCCAGTGGCCGTTGTCCCCCACCAAGGCCCTATTAAGGTTCCCTTATTCTCCCAAGCAGTGCCACAAGTTGGGAACCAGGCATTCAAACACACGAGCCTCTGGAGCGTATTTGTGGGGGAGGTCATTCACACTCAGATCGTATCCATCTTCAACATCCTTGATTAACAGATGTTAAAAGAGATGATGCTCTCGCATATTACCAATCTATCGCTGTCCTAACTGCCACTTGTGGTTGTGGAAGCTGAAGTGTAGCGGGCTGGAAGTTGAAGTAGAGTTTATGTTGCGCATTTGAGTCCAAAGGATGGACACTATCAATCTGTGCTATAGTCTAAAGGCAAATCCCTTCTGTTCCCACTTGTAAGGGCTTCTTCAACTGATTGGATTAAGCTCACTCACAAGTGTAAAGAATTTGTTTAACTTTAAAAAAGGTGATGGTAAATGCTATCACCTGTGAAAGGTACCTTTATAACATTTAGATTAGTGTTTGTTAAATAAAATAAAAAAGACTATCATCTAGCCAAGTTGACTTATAATATTAACCCTCACTGGGAGTCTGGATCAGCAAGGGCCTGGACACTATTGGGAGAACTTCCTAGCCCAGATACTTGCTTTTCCGTCTGGATTACTGAAATCCTATCTGTTTTCTGGCTCCCCATTGTGTTTTGTATACCATCCATAGTCACCTTTATAGGACTCAGGTCAGATAAATTTAGCCAGAGTATGAAGCAAGTAAGTTTTTTAGATCAGATCATGTCATTTCTTGAGTTATACACCCTGTCCCCAATCCTCAGTTCACCTAGAAGAAAAGGAAGCTTTTGACTTCCCGAGACCCTGCTCCCTTCCCGACTGCCCTCTGGGCCTGTCACTCCTGCTTTTGTGTGTTGAGGTAGCCATCGAAGCATCGTGAGGGATGTGTTTAGAAGGCTCCGAAGGGGTAAGATCAGGGACAAAATGGTGAGTTCTGGCTGGCTATTGGCCTGCGGCAGTAGAGGC